ATGCTTCCGTCGACACTTGTATGCCATCGAGCTATGTATTCGAGCCCTCGAGGCCCTGGCTTGTAATATAAAGCTTGTATGACTTTATTTATGTTTTAGAGTTGTGTTGTGATATCTTCCCGTGAGTCCCTGATCTTGATCGTACACATTTGCGTGTATGATTAGTGTACGATTGAATCGAGGGCGTCACAACTCGCTCCCCTCTCCCTCCCGAGGCACTCCCGCGAGCGTCGTCGGGAGGCAACCCTCGCGCCCCCCTCCGGTCCTCCGCCCCGCCTCTCCCTCCCTTGCCGCTGTCGGGGGTGCCGCCGACAAAAGGCCGCGTGGCCGAGGCGGCAGCGGGGCGGTGCTCCCCTGTGCACGGATGGATGGCGTCGCGGGCCGCCTCCCTCCTACCCGCGGCATCAGGTCCTAGCTGGCTCCTACTCCGGCGCTTTGCCCCACGCCCTTGTGGCCCACCAGCAACTCCTCCTCCCCTCCCCCCTACGGCTCGTCGGATCTGGTGGTCAAGGTCGTGCTGGCAGCGGATCTGGGCATCCTGGCCCAGATCTGGTGGATGTGGGGGTCTTCAATGTCGGGGGTGACCGGCAACCCCGTGGAGGTGGTGGTATGGCGGCCGGTGTGCGCGTTGCTCTGGTGCGGGGTGGCGGGGCTTCGGGTGGTTCTAATCAGGGTGTGGAGGCCCAAGTGATGTGGTGGTGGCGGGTTGATTGCGGCGGCGGCCAGATTGTTCCGGCGTCGGCTCGTTTGTAGGCTGCCCTTTGTCGGCCTTCGACCCCTCTCCTCGGCGTCCGTTTGCTTCTCTCGCCGGAGGGCTGGCCTTCTCCCGGCTGAGGTCCATCGAACGTCTCGCAACCGGTGCCGCGGGACCGAGCCCGTCTCGCGCCCGGCAGCAGGACTAGCCCGTCTCGTGCCCGACTGCAGGACTGCGCTTGTCTCGCGCCCGGCAGCAGGACCGGCCTGTCTCGCGCCCGATGACAGGACTGCGCTCGTCTCGCGCCCTGTGTTGCGGGACGACTCGATGGAGGCTTGTTGTGGCCAGCCTATTGGGTCTCAGCGCTGGGTCCGGCCAGGGGTGCGAAAGGCGGACCCTTTCTGCCCGTCTCCGCGGTTGGGGTAGCGGTGGGGCTCAGGGGACTTGGTGTCAAGGTCTTGGATTCCGGGGCGGCGGCCTTGGTGGTGGTGGTGCGGTGCTCATGGGCAGAGCTCGTGCCTCAGTGCTGCCCGGCTGCCATGACCGTGTGGGCGGCGTGGTAGCCGGGGTGTGGCGTTCAGTAGCGGTGAGTGTTGGCCAGGGTGAAAACCTATTCTATCTTCGGACGAACCGGCGACGGTGAAGATCGCTCCCTTCTTGAGGGCGTCGTTGCGGCTATCATTGCCCGTTGTGTTGCTCCAGGGGAAACTCCGATCCTCGGATCGGGCGGTGGCGGTGCTCCGGTGCCGTATCCTTCCTGAAGGCGGTGCCTTGGAGCCCATGGTTCGTCATATGCGGCTTCACTTCTTCGCGGTGTTCACGGATGAAGCCCCCGGCGACTCTTGTAGTGCTAGGGAGTGTGTTGCTGTGCTCAGCGCCTATGTATCCTGCCTTGGGTGTGTGTGTGTGTGCGCGCTTGTGGTGGGTGAGTGCGGTTGTATCGGGCATTGTTGGTCTACGCTTTATATATAAAGTGGGGCGAAAATCTTTTTCGCTAAGTATTGCAAGACAGTGTTTGCTGAAGTTGTTTATTTCGGTGTTACTCTAATCTAATATCATAGTTTTTTCAAAAAAATAAGAAAGCTCACAAGCACTAGGTAGATTTTTTTTGAAAAGGAGGATGTACCCCCGGCCTCTGCATCTGGACGATGCATGTAACCATTTTATTAATTATTTCTAAAGACCTTACAAGGTAATACATCAATAAGCCTAAAGCCACCATCTTGACAACATCTGTTGCTACTCTTATCCCTTGATGAAGGGGTGCCGAATGTCCGAGCCTAATACCAACACACACATTGCACCAAAGCCTAACATCTAAAGTCGGATGTCCCATCCAAGCCACTACCTAGACTGGGCCACACACCGGTCCGACAACTCCCAATGAGCACTGCACGCTGCAAGGGCAGTCACCTCCATCTTCCATCAATCCATCCTCAGAGCAGAATTGATGCATCAATCTAATCAGGCCTCTCTGCCATCGACTCCACCGCGATGCTAGACAACGTCGCCCTCCTGCATGAGTCCGTCAACCCGCATCGGACAACGAGCCTCCACTGTGCCATGCCGCCTAGACCCGCCGTCATCAATGCAAAATATGAAACCCCGCTCTGCCTATAGGCCCTTTCAATCAGCACCTGCTCCAAAACGGTGCGCTCAAGAGGAAGAACGACACCATAGGTTCCGTCGTCATCCGATCTGGGAGACCCAGATCCAAGGTTTTCCCCAAAGCAGATGCCCCCTGGAGGAAGATGGGCACGCCAACTGCAACTGCCCACTAACACAAGCCGTGCCCACAAGCACTTAGCTCTCACGACGGTGCCTTTAAGAAGGACACGACGCCGCACCATCACCGCCCTAGGGTTTTCACCCGAGAAACCATGGAGTGGAAAAAGGTGGGGCGAACCCGAACGACGTCTCTAGGAAGAGAAACAGCACCCTCGGGGGTCATCGCCGTCGCGGACGGTAGGAGCCGACCAGGGAATTATCCCAATTCGAATCTCCACTTCCCGCTCCGCCCAATCCGGTGACCGGCAAGCAGTGCAGCCATGTCCGTTACGACGGAGTGCACGATGCAAGTATTGAAGGAAGAAGCAGCAGCACAGCCATGTCCGTTACGACGGAGTGCACGATGCAAGTATTGAAGGAAGAAGCAGCTCGACGCCGTTAGCCGCCGAGTCACTAACCGGCCGGTGGATCGTCGGCCATCTGAGTCACCAGCCCACCCGCCCGCCATGCCATCGGACAGGAAGGCCAACCTCGAGGTTGCCGTCCCTGATCCAAGGCCCTCCGCCCTAGATCTAGAGGAGCAGCGCCAAACCTGCCACCACAGCCGCTGATAGGACACCGGTCAGCCGCCACACCGCCGTAGTCCAAATCTGGACCGTCATGAACCAGATCGGCGCCGCCGCAGCCCAGATCGGAGTCACACCCTCGAGCCATGGAGCCCTGCGTCACCCTTTAACCCGCCGGTGCACGCACAGACTAAGCCCGGTGCCTACCACCGGCGGCGACAGAGGGGAGGGAGAGGAAGGAGCGGTGACCAGACGGAGGGGAGCACTAGGTAGATAATTTCTCTCCTCTTTCCTTCCATGGAGGCTCTCCCCCCACTGGTCATGGCGCCGGCGAAAATCTACCTCCGACAGCCATAGAGAGCAGCAGCAGCATCGGGCATCAGGAGGGCTCGTGACCCTCCCCAAAACCGAGCTCGTAAAGTCCCCTCCTTAGGGATGGCATTGGGTAGGGTATGAGCGGGTACAACCTCCTTCTACCCAAACCCATACCCATAGAAACTTTCTATGCCCACCCACTTCAATACCCATGGGTATAAACTGACACCCATGCCCATACCCATCGGGTATCCTATACCCAATGCGTATCCATTGGGTACAATATATAGCATTCAAATTCTTAAGAGGTAGAGACATGAGTTCAAAATTCAAGTGATCATGGTAGAGTAGTATAGCACGGCTGCGGCCTCCTCGGGTGGGTGGCCTCTTGGAGGCATCAGGGGAGTATGAGCAGCGGTTGGTGGAAGACTGATGCAGTGGAAGGCGGTGGTGGGAATTGGAGATCGCTGGATCGAGAGTTTGACAAGAGTGTGGTAGCGAAGAGTTGATATTTCATATTTTCAAGGAGTCACATAGGACATAGAAGGAGTGGCAAGAAGGTGATTATGCGCCTATGAGCTATGACTTGTTTAAGGAATACAAGATTTAGGTTTGGACCATATGAGTTGGATGTTAACCCCACATGTTATAGGAGTTATTTTCATTTATTAATTTTTACTGGGTATCCATTGGGTTACCAATAGGTACAATTCCTTACCCATGCCCTACCCATATATTTTATAGGTATGGGTACCCATTACCCGTGGGTACAAAATGTCTCCAAGTCTTGCCCATACCCATTGTTTTCGGGTACCCATACCCATGGGCAAAACTGCCATCCCTACCCCTCCTCCTTTCCTTTCTCCCCAATCCCCGCCTCTCCCTCTATTTGTATCCGCCTGATGAGAAGTTTGATGCTGCCACGGTGGTGGTGGTGGTGGTGGTGTGCAGGATTTGCTTATCAGCTTGAAGATGCTGGCCGTAACGCAGGAGGATGCCGCCGGGCGCCGGCCATCCTTTGCCTCGCCGACGTATTTGATCTGCGGAAGCTGTGAGCTCCAG